AAACTTATACTAAAATTCTATACTACCCTTACCTCCATTTTTGGACCTCCTAAGAATTAAAATTTAGGCGCTACCATGTTTTTCTATACTGGTTACATTCCCAAGTGATGTCTCTATGAGATGAAACACAGAGATCATAAATGGGAACCAGTACGTTAACAAATTAGCATATCTATGAATATTATATATCTCCCCAAAAGAGGCGTGGTTTGAGAAACAGCTGTATTTACAAAGTGCAACCTATAGGTGTTACTGAATTCAAAGCTATAGGTGTTACTGAATTCAAAGCCTATAAATGGTACTGAATTCAAAGCCTATAGATGGTACTGAATTCAAAGCCTATAGGTGGTACTGAATTCAAAGCCTATAGGTGTTACTGAATTCAAAGCCTATAGGTGGTACTGAATTCAAAGCCTATAGGTGGTACTGAATTCAAAGCCTATAGGTGTTACTGAATTCAAAGCCTATAGGTGTTACTGAATTCAAAGCCTATAGGTGTTACTGAATTCAAAGCCTATAGGTGGTACTGAATTCAAAGTCTATAGATGGTACTGAATTCAAAGCCTAAAGATGTTACTGAATTCAAAGCCTATAGGTGGTACTGAATTCAAAGCCTATAGGTGTTACTGAATTCAAAGCCTATAGGTGGTACTGAATTCAAAGTCTATAGATGGTACTGAATTCAAAGCCTAAAGATGTTACTGAATTCAAAGCCTATAGGTGGTACTGAATTCAAAGCCTATAGATGTTACTGAATTCAAAGCCTATAGATGTTACAGAATTCAAAGCCTATAGATGTTACTGAATTCAAAGCCTATAAATGGTACTGAATTCAAAGCTTATAGATGGTACTGAATTCAAAGCTTATAGATGGTACTGAATTCAAAGCCTATAGGTATTACTGAATTCAAAGCCTATAGGTGGTACTGAATTCAAAGCTTATAGATGGTACTGAATTCAAAGTCTATAGATGGTACTGAATTCAAAGCCTATGGATGGTACTGAATTCAAAGCCTATAGGTGGTACTGAATTCAAAGCTTATAGATGGTACTGAATTCAAAGTCTATAGATGGTACTGAATTCAAAGCCTATGGATGGTACTGAATTCAAAGCCTATAGATGGTACTGAATTCAAAGCCTATAGATGGTACTGAATTCAAAGCCTATAGATGGTACTGAATTCAAAGCCTATAGATGGTACTGAATTCAAAGCTTATAGATGGTACTGAATTCAAAGCTTATAGATGGTACTGAATTCAAAGCCTATAGATGATACAAGCATGAGCAGAAAGTTTTTCCAATGCAATTAAAATCACATACTTAGGTCAATAGTTTTTAGTGCTGCCTATTCCTTAGATACATATTTTAAAGAAAGTACATTTGGATATTTTATGCTAGTGCATATTCAGCAGAATGAGCTATAATTGTCTGAATAACTTATATTTTTAAAACAATATAATACCATTTGGGGAGGTGGGTGGCATATTTTGAAACCTCAGTGAAAGTATGAAAATATTAGTAGTGAACGTTAATTTGACTAATAATTATTCAACAATTGAAGGCTCTTGAAATTTGGAAAGTTAATAAGATCACCTCCTAAAAGAAGTAAGTTTACGAAGGGTTAGAATTGGCCCCTATGGTTTGATGTTTTTTAATCAGGCCAAAATACTACAAAATTCTCAAAGAAATAGTTAATATAGTTAACTATTAATACAAAATAAATTCTTTTTGGCACATCACATTAAAAATGAAGAAGAAATGACCCCTCAAGTATGCATTATTTGTGTTGTAACGTCAGGCAAATTTTCAATAATTCCGTAGTTTCTAACATTATTCACTTTGGCAGCCACCCCTGATCCAGAAATATTTTGTGTCTATAGATTCAATATCATCATTTGCAACTTTCGGCTACAGAACATTTTGGATCCTAGGTTGTGGCCAAGGGTTTCCACTAGCTTTAAGGTCCGAAAAATGCACGTTACCATCGTTTTTTTTGTCGAGCCTGCGACTTTTGTCGCAGAAAGCTCGACATAGGGATAGTGATCCGGCGGCTACGGCGGCGGCGGCGTTAGCTAACTTCTTAAAAGCTTTATATTTTAGAAGGTGGAAGTCCTGGATGCTTCATACTTTGTATATGGATGCCTCATGTTACGAAGTTTCCGTCAATCACATGTCCAAAATCCTTGACCTCATTTACATGGTTCAGTGACTACTTGAAAAAAAAGTTTAGATTTTTTGTAATGTTAAATTCTCTCTTATTATAAGTAATAGGATAACTATATTTGGTATATACCTTGCGAGGTCCTCATGCCCGTCAGACAGTTTTCACTTGACCTCGACCTCATTTCATGGATCAGTGAACAAGGTTAAGTTTTGGTGGTCAAGTCCATATCTCAGATACTATAAGCAATAGGTCTAGTATATTCAGTGTATGGAAGGACTGTAAGGTGTACATGTCCAACTGGCAGGTGTCATCTGACCTTGACCTCATTTTCGTGGTTCAGTGGTTATAGTTAAGTTTTTGTGTTTTGGTCTGTTTTTCTTATACTGTATGCAATAGGCATACTATATTTGGTGTATGGAATGATTGTAAGGTGTACATGTCTAGCTGGCAGGTGTCATCTGACCTTGACCTCATTTTCATGGTTCAGTGGTCAAAGTTAAGTTTTTGAGTTTTGGTCTTTTTTTCTAATACTATATGCAATAGTTCAACTATATTTGGTGTATGGAAATATTTTATGATCTATATGTCAGTCACGCAGGTTTTATTTGACCTTGACCTCATTTTCAAGGTTCATTGCTCAGTGTTAATATTTTGTGTTTTGGTCTGTTTTTCTTAAACTATAAGCAATAGGTCAACTATATTTGTTGTATGGAAGAATTGTTAGCTGTACATGCTGCCTAGCATTGTTCATCTGACCTTGACCTCATTTTCATGGTTCATTGGTCAATGTTTAGTTTACTTGGTTAATGTTAAGTTTATGTGACAGTTGTAATAAAGTTTTATATTTAGGACTATCAACATAATATCATTGATTAGTAAAGAAGGCGAGACATTTCAGCGTGTGCACTCTTGTTTGACAATACATGTATATATCCAAATTGTGTTTAGGTTGAAGCCTAGAATGTACTTTAATGAAGAATCTGTTTAACCTACTAGTAAAGCTTATGAAATAGATCCATTTAAGAACAAAATTATAACCATTTTGATATTTTATGATGAAGTTGAATTTTAAAACCATATTTGGCCTAAAGTGAACCTTGTCCTGCAACAGGCTTCTTGATTTTAGTTCAGAAAAATTGATCCCTTAGCTTTCTGAGATACATAATATGCATGTAGACACTTCTGCTTCAGTTGAATATAAATTTATGTTCCACCAAATAGCATAAAACATGTCTTAAGAGTAAGACTTAAGATTACATGTAGCTGAATGAGAAATGCATGCTTCATGCAATAAATATTCCTAGAACAATGATGTAATCATTCAATGTAAGAAAAACCAAATATACCAGTAGGTTTACACAGCATGCAGGTTTACATTAAATTTAACTGTCAATGAAATTGAATTAAATTTTCCATGTCATTGATAGTTTTGGTTGAATTAATGAATTAATGATTGAGATAAATCGCTTCCATTGATCCATTAGGAAATATAACAATACTTATGCAGTTTGCAGACAGAAAACAAAACGAGATGCGATGGAGATTTGTGAAAATTATATTGGATTGGTATCAGATTGGCATTTTAAGTTAGCTATTAATGATTCCCTAGGTGTTTTCATTAAATTTGTGGTTAAGATATCTCTAGACATGAAAATGATACTGTTTTGAATTTGGAAAAAAAAGGGTTTCAAAGGGAATTGTAACAGTACAAGTAAAGCAACAATTGTACTTTTGGAAAAAGATGGCAGATAAAAAATGTGATAATGAAGAATGAAATATTGCATGTAATTAAGTTATGTGTAAAACATCTTTAAACCATTCAAGTTTGTGGAAAAATAAGGCATTTGTTGTATAAGCTTACAAGTATTCTATGATGGATGGCATGAACTGACTGTAGAATATTGTTTGGTACATTTCTTTTTTAATGATTGTCAATAGTCAGTGATAATGGAATAAGAAATTAGTGAATAATGGTACTGTACCATACTCAGTGTAGCAGATGCATAGAATTGGAAATAATGAGGCACAAAATTATCTTGTGAACATCCACACTATACATGTATCCTTTATTTTTCAGGTTAAAGGTCAACGGAGAGATTGGTTATATGAATGAAAAAGAATTTAAGATAGAACTGCTGACTCAGCAGTAAATAATTATTACTTGATGTTGATGTAGACATTTAGATTCAATCATCAGTCAGTAAGATGGTCGTCATTTTAACAGATAATGAGTCTCTTCATGACATTTAAAGACCATTCTGATATATGTATTGAAATTGTTATATATGTGAATTTTAAAAATGTTATTGAATCTCAAATGGAAAATTGTTGGTCTGAAAGAGAATGAGACAATGAAATGAGTTTTCTTTGTAAATATCTTACATTTTATCTTAATATATTAGGAGATATATACATGTAAGAAGAACTTGAAGAATACATTTATTCTCAATAGATGTACAAACACAGAATTATTTGAATCTGGAATAATTTTGAATTCTGGAAAATTGATAAGAAATATATAATGAAAACTTACCCAATTTAGGAGGGTTAGCCATGCATACATGGCTAAGAGGGGTTAGTTAGTTCATACTGAAATATCAGTGAAAGTAAAATTAACCTTAGCCATGCGTGCATGGCTAGCCCTATTTAGGTGGGTTAGTTTTCATCTTACATTTTTAATCAATTTTTTAGAATTCAAAATTATTCCAGGTTGAGATAATTGATTATATATAAAATGATACATATTATTAACATGAAAAATAGTTAAATACATGTTGTTATTTTACCATAGATATGTCATATACATGAACAAAATTGGCCTTAACATTAATTCAGACTTGGTCGTCCTGGTGTTGATATTAGTTGTTGCCATGACAATGAGGTTGCTGTCACACAGATAGTCTTTCTTGGAAATGAGGTAATAAACTTAAAGGGATAGTAGCTACGATTTTGACAAAACTATGACCAAGTTTCAAAGCTGCTAAAATCAAAGATATGTACTAAAAATTAACAATAAGATCACTTGAATGTTTACATAAACTACAGAAGTGTTAATAATTGATAATTAATATCGCGTTGCATGCCTATTCATATCATTAATTATGCATCGGGTATACTCGGGAACTTTGCCGACACAGCGAGTGAAATGACCCAGATATAAATAGATACGAACATGTCCTTTTTGTTTTTCTTACGTATTTGATAATTTCTTTAAATTAAGCGTACATATTTGATACCATTTATCAAATTATGTAAACAACAATATATAACAAAAGCCTGCATATTATTCGAACCCAAGTTCTCAAACAATGGCAGTATTATACACTTGTTTTTACATTTGTATGACAAAACAATGCAGATAATATATGCACGTGTTTGTGAATTGAATTGGGGCCATCATGAAGGATACATAGGAAGAATAATATTAAATTGTAAGAAGTTGATTTTTAATTTCTGCTGAGTTGGGAGATAACTGACCGTAAATTTATAAACATATTTTGGACAATAACGATTTGAACACGTAGCGATTTGTTTTCATGTGATCTGGAATAGTTTAGAAATGTAAACATTTCGCAAACCTTCATATTGTTGGCTACATCTGTGTGACTGCCATTTTAATGACTGATCTCTTTGCCGTTATTTATTTTCAATTTACAATAACTTGTCTGCACCTCTTTTCTGGTCCCTTTACTTGCAGAAACTAAAAACACATTCCATTCCCGCGATAAAATTCCTCTGTTCGACATTTTCCCTTCGAGGGACAACGTGAGATTGCGCATTGAAGACTGCCGAGTTATGGTCAACATAGGTCATATGAATAAGGGTTGGCTTAACATCGAATTGTTGTCTGGTAGACAAATATTAAATCTTCTGAATGCTAAATGGAAAGTAACAGTGATGGTTTTTGTCAAGCCTGCGACTTTTGTCGCAGAAAGCTCGACATAGGGATAGTGATCCGGCGGCGGCGGCGGCGTTAGCTAACTTCTTAAAAGCTTTATATTTTAGAGGATGGAAGACCTGGATGCTTCATACTTTGTATATGGATGCCTCATGTTACGAAGTTTCCGTCAGTCACATGTCCAATGTCCTTGACCTCATTTTCATGGTTCAGTGACTACTTGAAAAAAAAGTTAAGATTTTTTGTAATGTTAAATTCTCTCTTATTATAAGTAATAGGATAACTATATTTGGTATGTGCGTACCTTGCAAGGTCCTCATGCCCGTCAGACAGTTTTCACTTGACCTCGACCTCATTTCATGGATCAGTGAACAAGGTTAAGTTTTCGTGGTCAAGTCCATATCTCAGATACTATAAGCAATAGGTCTAGTATATTCGGAGTATGGAAGGACTGTAAGGTGTACATGTCCAACTGGCAGGTGTCATCTGATCTTGACCTCATTTTCATGGTTCAGTGGTTATAGTTGAGTTTTTGTGTTTTGGTCTGTTTTTCTTATACTGTATGCAATAGGTCTACTATATTTGGTGTATGGAAGGATTGTAAGGTGTACATGTCTAGCTGGCAGGTGTCATCTGACCTTGACCTCATTTTCATGGTTCAGTGGTTATAGTTGAGTTTTTGTGTTTTGGTCTGTTTTTCTTATACTGTATGCAATAGGTCTACTATATTTGTTGTATGGAAGGATTGTAAGGTGTACATGTCTAGCTGGCAGGTGTCATCTGACCTTGACCTCATTTTCATGGTTCAGTGGTTATAGTTGAGTTTTTGTGTTTTGGTCTGTTTTTCTTATACTGTATGCAATAGGTCTACAATATTTCGTGTATGGAAGGATTGTAAGATGTACATGTCTAGCTGGCAGGTGTCATCTGACCTTGACCTCATTTTCATGGTTCAGTGGTTATAGTTGAGTTTTTGTGTTTTGGTCTGTTTTTCTTATACTGTATGCAATAGGTCAACAATATTTGGTGTATGGAATGATTGTAAGGTGTACATGTCTAGCTGGCAGGTGTCATCTGACCTTGACGTCATTTTCATGGTTCAGTGGTCAAAGTTAAGTTTTTGAGTTTTGGTCTTTTTTTCTAATACTGCATACAATAGGTCTACTATATTTGGTGTATGGAATGATTGTAAGGTGTACATGTCTAGCTGGCAGGTGTCATCTGACCTTGACCTCATTTTCATGGTTCAGTGGTCAAAGTTAAGTTTTTGAGATTTGATCTTTTTTTCTAATACTATATGCAATAGTTCAACTACATTTGGTGTATGGAAATATTTTATGATCTATATGTCAGTCACACAGGTTTTATTTGACCTTGACCTCATTTTCAAGGTTCATTGCTCAGTGTTAAGTTTTTGTGTTTTGGACTGTTTTTCTTAAACTATAAGGAATAGGTCAACCATATTTGTTGTATGGAAGAATTGTTAGCTGTACATGCCTGCCCAGCATGGTTCATCTGACCTTGACCTCATTTTCATGGTTCATTGGTCAATGTTTAGTTTACTTGGTTAATGTTAAGTTTATGTGACAGTTGTAATAAAGCTTTATATTTAGGACTATCAACATAATATCAATGATTAGTAAAGAAGGCGAGACATTTCAGCGTGTGCACTCTTGTGTTAATACTTAATTAACTTTTTGTACAAAATCCGGCATATAGATTAAAAAAATAATTTTAATGAAAATCGTAGCTACTATCCGTTTAAAGAATGTGTCTAAATTACATGACAAAATCACAAATGTAGAATAATTGAGAGATGTGAAACATATGCACATATGATGATTATGTGATATACTCTGTAGCAAAAGTTGCCTGTGTATGTAAATTTCAGTCTGACCTTGACAATACAGTTTTTCCTGCATATAAATTGTCATACCAGATGATCCATCAGTTAATAATCAATACAATGGTGACATTAAATGTATGTTATGGTTATTTAGCAATGAGGGTAACTGATTTTTATAGGCAACCTTGAAATGGAAGATTGATTCCATGTTACCCTTGACCATTCATTCTCCACTTCTGTGTTTAAGGTTGCAATTACTGTTAGAAATCCAGTATTAATGATATTCCTTATAAAGTGAAATATATTTCCACTAAAGTTAGGTCAGTATGACCTAGTATATTTTAAGTTTAAGGACTTTGGTTGAGAGTTTTGAGACTACTATATATATCTAGTACTGATCTATATTCATATCTATATTCATGTATGTAATATATGTATTTGTAGTATTTGATTTTTATGCCGCACCTATGATAGTAAAGGCATTTGTTTTTTCGGTCTGCATCCGTTCATTTGTTTGTTCGTCCGTCCGTCCTTCTGTCCCACTTCAGGTTAAAGTTTTTCATGAAGTTGAAGTCCAATCAACTTGAAACTTAGTACACATGTTCCCTTTGATATGATCTTTCTAATTTTAATGCCAAATTAGAGTTTTGACCCCAGTTTCATGGTCCACTGAACATAGAAAATGATAGTGCGAGTGGGGCATCCATGTACTATGGACACATTCTTGTTCTATAATATTTTTACTGTTGTTTTTTAATTATGTTAACTACATTTTATTTCATATAATGACTTTGGTATGAAAATAGAGATAACATTTCGTTCACTGATACAAGATGAAACTAATGCAAAGTGTATATTTTGACAGGGTGCTTTGGTGACTGTATGCTCTGATGATAGTCTTCATTTATGGAATTTCAGACAAAAACATCCAGAAATAGTCCATTCACTCAAATTTCAAAGAGAAAGGTAGGTTTTCAAATTGTCTTTATACTACTGCTGCAGATATGAAATGGGAATTTAAAACATCTTAACTGAAACAACATATAAAAGCAGCATCTGCATATGGAATAAATGTCTCACGGTTGATACAATGACCCAGAGTTTGTCACTCCTATCAATGATACAAAGTTACAGAATGTCTGTTACTGATGACCAATGATATGTTTAGGGAAAAAGATAAGCAATGGCCCAGTAGCCCAGGCTACCAAATTTTAGGCTGGGCCCCAAAATATTAGCTGAGAATGTTCTTATTGTGACAGGTTTGGTCCATTAAATGAAAATGTTAGTCTTTTTCCTGATGGTTATAACCACAATCTGTTTCCCTTTTCCTGTTTATAACTTCACCAAATGCATTACATATTTACTTGTCTGGGTAACTCATCAGGTTCCACTAATGTGTTGTGTTTTTGAGACTATTGTTTATCTTTTTTGTCGTTTTTGCTGCGACATTTAACTTGTCTAGTAAAATATGTGTTGGCATATATTGATCATATATCATTTTACTTATTTTATTTCTTTGAACCTTTTATTGAGAAGGCCTAATGATCATCACCTGCAGTGTATTCATAGGTTTATCCAATTACAACAGAGTCCAAAATTTGGCAAACGGAAATCAAGCGCTCCTCAAAAAATTCCTTTTTTAAAGAATTTGATTGACTTAATGTCACATTTTTTACAAATTTTACAGACCTTTGGTCATAACCGCTGCCTTTATTATTTCATTATATATTATTATACATATATTATATAGAATGAATCTACATAAATGTGTAATTTTAATCTTATTTTCAATATACAACCTTTGATCTCACACCTGTTACTGTGAAAAATATTTTAATTTTCCTAAAGATCATGGATAAACAGTTTCTACATCAGTACAAGGATATGTTACTGATGGGTGTATTTAATAGTTTTAAGATGTATATTGAATGTTTAAAATTATAGTCAGTAACTTAATAATATTATTTTATTGAATGCTTGAATAATTGGAAAGAATAAGCATTTTATTCTCCAAGGACATCCCTGTTAGTAGGCTGCATATATCATGTACATAGTTATACATATTTGTGAACTATTTAGGTCTTCAGTGTTTTGGACATGAGACATATTTCTCTTTTCTTGTTTGACTGGTTGTCACAAAAGTTTGATAATACAAAAATTTACTTTAAAAGGGAGTAAAGCTGGACAGAATTGACCTCATTATCAAGACTTTTAGTGCGCAGGTCAAGGTTTCAGGGATAAGTCAGCAGAAGTAAATGTATAATTAAAGGTCAACATTATTATACCCAAAATCATGGAGTTGGTTATAACTATTATAGGGGGGAGGGGGCGAAGACAATATTAATTGCAATCTCCTTTTCAGTCTCTTCTTTTTTCTACATGACAAAAAAGATCAGTTATTTCAAGATGCTTAATAATATTCCCTGGTTGTATTCAGATTCTTAGGGTTTATGCTCTGTTTATTGCTGAGATTTCCCCTTACAATTGTACTGTCTGCTGTGAAACTATGAAGCACAAATGGCAGTCAGCAGGATTGAAGAAAATCCGTTGTTAGACCTGCTAGTCAAATGCGTTTTGTTAAAATATACTTTTTTGGTCTTTTGGAAAATGTTGTTTGTGCTGTGTTTGGACCCCTCTACCAAGAGGTTTGTTTTGCATGCACACATATAAAAAATTGCGGTTTTTATCCAACGCGGTCATAGGTTTGAGCATTTAATATTGCAATTTTGACATTACCAACCAAAATTTGAGATTAATAATTCGGATTTCAGGAAAAGCTGCATATAAATACATATCAGATATCCAAATGCGAGTTCTTATTATTGCTATACTCACCCAGTTGCATTTAATAGCATTAATAAAAACCTGGCAATAATATCTAAATTTACAGTATATAGCAGGTTGCATTTGATTATTCAGTTGAGTGATTTTGTCAGATGGTAATAGGGTCTTAATCATAGTTTTCTTTAAGTGATATATGAAAAATCTGTTATGACCACCTGTTTGGACAGTGGGTTGCTGTACAATCTTTAATACTGTATTAAACATTAGTTTGTTTTTAAAGCAAAATTATATGTCAAGGAATAGAATAGAATATGGTAACAGGGAATGTGTCAAAGAGACAATAACCTGACCAAAGAGCAGAAACTAGTCCAAGGCCACCAATGGGTCTTCAAATTTGAGAAAATCCTGCACCCTGAGGCGGTTTCAGCTGGCCCCTTAACAATATTTTATACTGGTTCAGCGAAATGGATGCCAAACTATTCTCTGAAAAATACAAATGAACCAAAATTAAAAAAAACCACACAAGACTAACAAAGGCTAGAGGTTCCTGTCTTGGGACAGGTGCAAATATGTGGAGAGGTTAAGACACTACATGATTTATCTATATTTCTTTAATGTGAAGTTATAAGGTTTATAAGCACACACTCGTCTCATCACCTTTAATATAAAAACTTACATTATAAATTTTGTCATATTCTAATCTCTTTTACTAATGTAATAAATCATGAAATCAGTGGACCGGAAATCTGAAAAATATCAACATTGACAATATAACAAATTTATGAAAGGAAAAACCACCAGTACAGTTTTGTACCTTCTAAATTACTACATGAAAATCTCAGTAAAACTAACAGTGGTCATCAATCTTCAAATTATTTATTGTAGGAGCCGATAATGTAATCTGCTTTTATTTCTGACTGAAAAAACTCTTTTAAGTTCAAAGGTCAAAATGGCCTATACATTCATAAATATAAATGCTGTTTTTATAGAGACAAGGTTGTTTTATTTTACTTAATTAATAAATATTGCTCATCTAAACATAGATCAATAAATCTGTGTGTTATTCTCAGCCTATAACATTGCTTCAAGTTCAAATCTACATGCCACCTAAAACTCTAGACTTCATATCATCTTTTACAGTTAGACATGTTTAATTAGATAACAATTGAGACATGTATCTGTTTCTCCATTGTTTGATTCCTGGTTTTTCTGATGCAACAAAAATGTAGGACCAGAAATTGTAACACCAGTATCATTTGTGAATATAGGGTTATTTGTAACAGTCTTATAGGCACTAAGAAGACCTAATATTGCCCAATCTTCAGTTAACAACATTATTGATGGGAAGAGCTCGAGCGCTATTTATGATTTCAAAGTCCGAGACCGATGTGAAAGGCTAAGATCAAAACATGAAAGATTAAAGCTTATTGGTATACTATAGCTCCACTTGCATTTAATATGCTTTAGATATGGTACATTATCCTTGGCAATTGGGAGAGTTTTAATCTTTTTCAATTTGAAGGTCATAGATCCAAATTTACCTTGAAGCATTACATGTATACATTATTGGATTTTGATTTTTGACATTGACCTTTATTCATGTGCATCAATCTATTTTATGCTACTGAAAGACTAATTATGTGTTTTTGTAAATCATGGTGGCCTGTACAGATGCTACCGCCTTGATTCACAATAATTATAGTAAATAGCAGGCTATATATAACTAATAGAATTTTTGTCAGAAAAGCCAAACTACATTGTACTTACAATATACCTATTGATTTAAGCAACATGCTTATTTTGGCTACAGTAATTAAATTAATTAGGGAGTCATCAATTAATTAATGCACTAGTATTGATATCAGAAGACCATTTGTAATACTACTGTCAATATTGGTTTATGACAAATTAAGTGAAAATACTGTTTTTCTCACCTGGTTCAAAGAAAATATAATATATATGTAAATAAAACACAAATTATTCACAAGGAAATTAAGCTTCAATTGGGTGTAGATTATACTTCTAGATATTCTGTCTACATATATTTAATGAATTTGTCAAGCAGATTGTCATCTTGAAAGATTTGAAAAAATAATAAAAAGTTGTTTTCAAAAAATAGATTTTAAAATTGACATGAAATTGACATAGATATCTTTCCCCTTTCTTGAGAAAGTTTTTAAAAAGTACCTGCATATGTTATGATTGGGACAAGTAGATATGCATCTCCTGGACATATATTGGCAGCTGTTCTCATTGTAGTTATTGGTTGACTCTTCCTATTTGAACTTAGAATCATTTGGATTTTAATTAAGCTTGCATTTAGTGGTCTTTGGATGATCCATTTTCTAAACTTTGGTATATTCTTTTAACGAAAGCATGCAAATTTACTCCAACATACTTGGTTTTACATGGGTATTCAGGTGTATTTCTAAAATATACATGCCAAAAATTAGAATAAGGTTCATTTACATGTACTTATAAATGACATAAACTTTAAATGAACTAATTGATGCAATCAGTTTGGTTCAGTCGTGACAAACAAGTCTTGTATTACTTACTTTTCAAAGCATTAAAAAAAAAATCCCATCTGAAATGCAAGATGGCTGCCACAGCAAGTCATATTTTTTTATAGGTCTTTATGAAGATATGTACACAACCTGTTTTTATTTTTTCATTCATATTACCAGTGTTTTGTCTCTTCCTGTCTCTATAAAAATAAGAAGATGTAGTATGATTGCCAACAAGACAACTCTCCACCAGAGACCAAACGATGTAGAAGTAAGCAACCATAGGTCACAGTACAGCCTTCAACAATGAGCAAAACCCATACCGCATAGCACACTATAAAATGTCCCGTAATGACAAATGTAAAACTTTTCAAAGAAGAAACTTAGCAGCCTGATTTATAAAACAAAACAATCAACAAAACACAAATATTGTATACAGCAACAAATGACAACCACTGAATTACAGGCTCCTGACTTGGGACATGCACATACAGAGTGTGACTGGTTTAACATGTTTGAGGGCCCCTAACTCTCCCCCTAACCTGGGACAGTAATACCAGTATTATTTTCAATGTTACTAGAAATGGTAAAAGTAGTTGTGAATAAGGAGGTGGATTATTTCAATGACGTACGTGTCTTTGCTCTATTATCTCAAACATTTCATTTTGTACCATGCTTTTGTACATAGATTGATTTTATAGAATCAAAGAAATTAATATTATAAGTTAACTTTTTTATGTAGGAGAAATGATATCCTTTCTTTATGTTCGAATGGAAAGAAGTCATGAAATTTTAATCCATTTCATGCTAGCTTGAGATATTTAAATGTTAGTCGATACAATTGCATAATTTGTACGAAATAATATAACATTCTGTAATAACTCATAACCAACATAATTAAATCTGTTTTCATATAGAGGGCTGTATATGTCTCAACAGATCTGTCTGATATCTTTAACTAACTAAATACATTTTGTATGTTTGTCTGAGACTGATTTAAAATGAAATAAGGAGAAAACTAGTTTTAATCATGTTTATTTTACAATATGTATAGAGCATTCCAAGTAAGAAAAGTTGGAAATTAATGTGGGGAGCAATCAAAAATCATCATTCAAACAAGCACAGAGAAAAAAAAATGAGAGTATAACATTAATCTACGAAACACAAAAACTAAGAATTGCGAAATGTTTAACCCCACTAGACTATACTGGCATTCTATGGGAGGATATTCAAAAGACAAAAAAGAAAAATATATACGTGTATATATACCCTCTCCTTATTTAGATTAAACATGACATAGTAGTTTCTGTACCACATCTACAAATTTAAAAAAACATGACTAAATATTAGCAATTACCTTTGGTCATTTCTTCAGGTCTTGTTGAATACATCTCAGCTGGTCAAAGGTCAAGTGAGCTTGTAAAACCATTGTTGTTATCTTTTTACACTTGCAAAATAATTTAAACTATTTGTATAATCAAAACAAAATATGACAAGAATTCATTTTGTTCTTTATTTAATTCAAATAATCCTGCTGGCTAACTAAATAACCAATGGATGGTGGTTTCGTGTTGAACTTTAAGGTTGCATGAAGATTGCTAGATATCAATTTTGGTTACCTGTTGTTTGTTTCTGTATTTTGTTTAAAGATACAGGTGCATGTATCAAAAATAAACACATCAGAGGAAAAAAAAGGTGATTAAATGCTGTTAAAACAATTCTTATCCTATCTTATTAATAAAGCTTTTTTAAATGGCCAAACATCAAAAAAATATTTCAATTTGGGTAGGAGCATGCAGAGAATTGATTCATGAGTTTCAGTGCTTTTGCCTCATTTCCACTAAAGCTGTTTTCTCTTCAATTACTTCACAATAATGCATTCAGTAATTTATCAATTTTGACGAAATTCAGTCTACATCAAACATGAAAGGATAGTTAGAATTCCCAGTATTGTACCAGATACAACATCTTATGCGTTAATTAATAAACTAATTATTTTTGTAATGTACATTACTAGGGACAGAGTATCCTACTGATAAAATGATTAAAAAACTTAAGTGGTTTTGTCACAGCTTGTACATGTTCAATTTGTCAACAAAATTGACAAGATAGGCAAGTGTCTTTTATCGCTGTGTGTATGAAAAGCATGTCAGCAAAGCCAATGGTCATGCTACCATTTCATTAAACTTCAAAAATGGAAAGAAGGATAGTCTTTGAAACACTTATCAGTGCAGGTTTCAAGTGTTATCATTACGTAATAACATCCCATTTGTCTCATTTAATAATCAGCCTTCTAACAGTAAGGTTCAATGAATTGATTATTGATTCCACATACATATAAATACAACTGTATCAAAACAAAACTGAAAAAATCTGATTTATTTGGATGGTATTGGAAACTGACATCAGAATGGTCAATCAATAAGTTTAATTTCAAGGTCACCATTGATATAGATTCATCTGGATCAATAACAGAGTTCTGTGGGAGACATACCATTAATTATTTGGATCATTGTGGTTGGTCTGTAGGTTTTTCACAAGCTTTATGTAATGTCTTTAATCTTTTGATCTAATGTTCATATCCTCCTACAGAGGGTTTGGGTTTATTAAGTTTTTTAAGGTCTTTTGAGTCTTGTCATTCCAATCCTTTGTTATGGTTCTTTACCAAATAATATATGAATAAAAGGAGGTGAGGGGTAACCTTCAAAGAGACAGCAACCTGTCAATTAAAATACCAATCAGTAGTACAAAAAGGGTTCAAAAGTAACTATTTCAAAGTTCAAACATAGATGATCTTATACATTGTACACTAGGGCCTCAGTCACTTAAGGTTTGTCATAGACTTGGATTATATTTTTTGCTTAAGCATTATAGTTACTTGGAGCGATCATATGTTTATGGTTAAATTTACTCAAGGAAGTGAGATGAAATAAACCCTTGTTCTGTTGAATATTGGTATAACATTGCACATCCCAGGAATTTAAAAAATAAAAGAAAATATAAAAGTTTGAGTAATGTTTGATGAACATGCATATGTGTAGTCACATAAATCCAGAACCCAAAAGGAAATTTGAATTATTAGATGATCATAATAGATTTTGTACATTTAAGATTTGTTGATGAAAAATGATTGGAGATAACTTCAAAATGTAGGTAACATGGTCTCGCGGTTATAAAAATTTAGAACACGATTATTGTACTCAGACACAGAATTCAACCAATCAAAATGCTGAATTTGGTATTTCAAGAACAAATATCGTACTCTTGAGTAGTGAGTAAAGTTGCATGACCGTAGGACCAGGTCTATGTGGTTTTTTTGGGGTAAACAATTGAAAGCAACATTTGTTGCATTCACTCTATTTGCATAAGTTATTGTTTGTTTGTCATTATCAAGATATTTAGATAAAGGACAAGGATAAGAAAACTAGGCAAACAATTTCAATTGAATGCACATGTATGAATTTCAATTTTTTATCTTCAGAATCACATTCTGTCATTTGGCTTTCCAAAGTAAATGGTTATATATAGGGACAGAACGAGGAAATGTGCACATCGTCAACATAGAATCATTTGTCCTGTCTGGTTATGTTATCAACTGGAACAAAGCTATAGAATTGTAAGTATATTTTCCTTTCTTACATAATTAACGTTTTGCATTTAAAAGTTTCCTAACATAGGGCATTATACTTCACTATATATTGGTAAAATTTCCAGTGTGTGTGTTTTTTTGTTGTTGCTATGTTGGTGGAGACTTCAGCACAAAATTTACTCCTGGCAAACATGCAAGAAATAACAAAATTTGTTTAAAAACTTCTATATTTCTCAATATCTTAAATAAAAAAAAATGCATTAAAATCACATTGTGTAAAGTATATTGAATTTCTTTTTTCTTTTTATACAGATTAACATTCAATGCTATCAATACATGCATATTCAAAATGCAGAGATGTCTTTCCTGCCAAAGTTTTTAATTTTTCAGATGCTTGTATAAAAAAGGTGCTCATACTTATCTTATTTCAATTTTCCATGAGTTTTATTATTATACGACTGCAAAAAAAATTTGCGGGTGTATATTGGTATGACATTGGCGTCGTCTTAGTCCGAAGACACATTGGTTTTCGCAGTCTAACTTTAGTTGAAGTGAATGGATCTCTATGAAATCTTACCATAAGGTTCAATACCACAAAAGGAAGGTTGGGAATGATTTTGGGGGTTATGGTACCAACAGTTTAGGAAAAAGGGGCCAAAAATAAGCATTTTTGTAACTTCCAGACATAACTTGTGTGTAAGTGTATGGATCTCTGTGACATTGTACCACAAGGTTCCATATCATAAAGGGAATGCTGGGATTGATTTTGGGGGTAAATGCCTCAAAATTTTAGGAATAAGGGGCCAAAAAAAGGGGGAAAAAACAAGCATTTTTCTAGTTTCATGATAATAACTTGTGTGTAAGTGTATGGATCTTTCTGAAATTGTACTACAAGGTTCCATATCAATAAGGGAAAGCTGGAATTGAGTTTGGGGGTAATTGCCCAAAAAGTTTAGGAATAAGGGGCCAAAAAGGGGCCAAAAATAAGCATTTTTCTAGTTTCCAGACAATAACTTGTGTTCAAATGTATGGATCTCTCTGAAATTGTACTGCAAGGTACCATAGCACAAAGGGAAGGCTGGGATTGATTTTGGGGGTAATTGCCTCAAAATTTAAGGAATTAGGGGCCAGAAAGGGGCAAAAAACAAGCATTTTTCTAGTTTCCAGACAATAACTTGTGTTCAAGTGTATGGATCTCTCTGAAATTGTACTGCGAGGTACCATACCACAAAGGGAAGGCTGGGATTGAGTGTGGGGGTGATGAATCATAAGGGGTTCAAAAAATTTGCGGGAGGTATTTTTTTTCTTTAAAATTTTCCATTTTAAATTGGTTATTTCTAATTTATATATAAAAGCAAATAATAATGATATGGTTTGAATAGGTAAATTAAAAAATTTTAAGTTCTTAGACCACATTCATTCTGGGTCAGAAACCTATGCTGTGTCAAATATTTAATCACAATCCAAATTTAGTGCTGTATCAAGCTTGAATGTTGTGTCCATACTTGCCCCAACTGTTCAGGGTTCGACCTCTGCGATCGTATCAAGCTGCTCCCAGCGGAGCATTTTATTATTATATATTATCCATTTAAAAAGACACAATTTATAAAGATGTTGTTATTTTAAATTACAGTAAAATTACAGTTTAAATGTTTTAATCTGTATCTTTTAGGTCAAGAAAAACACATCCAGGAGTAGTGGTGCATCTGAGTGACAATCCAGTTGACCCAAATAAAGTAAGTAATCAGATTCTTTAAATTTCCACAAACCAAATCCAATTTATTAGTTAAAACCAGTAAAATATAAAGTCAAAATTATTTTGTAGTTTTTTAATAAACATTCTTTTATTTCAGTCTTATCTCTATAGCTGGTAGAACAAGTTAGGTGTAAAGTATTTGTCAGTCCTTTCCAAAATAAATACTTGCGTTAGTGTTGCATTGGGGATGAAATAAACTTCTGACAAAAATTATATTCTTGATGAAAAAAGGTTGCAAGTGTTGCCCAACAATTAGAAATTTCATCTTCAAATTTTTCCTGAAGACATGGAATCTTGAGGTGAAATTTTTTTCCTTACCTAGTAGTAGTGGTAGAACTGTGAGAGTCAAAACAAACTTGTTGAGGTTATAGCCATGGTAGATGTTTTGTTCGAATCAATGTGAAATGAGTTTATTTTGACTTAAACATCTTTGATTAGTGTTTTACTTTATTCCTAATGTATTTGAGTTCAGAACATAACACTGAAAGGGTTTTAATGTTTGTATAATCCATCTTACTCTAATATGCAAGTGACTTTGGTGGCCGATTGTTAGTTCATCTTCTGTATCACAAACCTGTCAACACTGAGGTTGTGAGTTCAAACCCTGCACATGGCATTTGCTTCCAATTCCAATCTTAGTTGACTAGGATTTTTAGTTTTCCCTGCCAATGGGTTGGTGATTCTCTCTGGGCACTCTCCACCATTATAAAACGGACCACCACCAAATAGCAAATAGTGCTGAAAAAGCAATCCATCAAATCAGCAATGAAAAGTATTTAAAAGCAAATATGTAGTTGGCGTTTTTGAACAATTACAATTTTCATATAATCTCAATTTTTTCTGAGTTTTAGATGTTTAAAGACTGACTAGCCCTTTGTTTAGTCCACATTTCAGTGCTATATTCAGTTCATTTTATATGACCGAATTTTTTTTTTTGATTTATATAATGCTATGATGTCGTCGTCCGAAGACACATTTGGTTTCAAGACAATAACTTTAAGTGAATGGATCTCTATGAATTTTTACCAGAAGGTTCAATACCACAAAAGGAAGGTTGGGATTGATTTTTAGGGTGATGGTACCAACAGTTTAGGAATAAGGGGCCAAAAACAAACATTTTTGTAGTTTCCGGACAATAATTTGTGTGTAAGTGTATGGATCTCTCTGAATTGTACCACAAGATTCCATGTCACAAAGGGAAGACTGGGATTAAGTTTGGGGTTAAATGCCCCAAACGTTCAGGAATTACAGGCTAAAAAAGGGGTAAAAAACAAGCATTTTTCTAGTTTCCAGACAATAACTTGTGTATAAGTGTATGGATCTCTCTAAAATTGTACTACAAGGTTCCATACCATAAAGGGAAGGCTGGGATTGAGTTTGGGGGTAATTACTCCAAAAGGTTTTTTTTTGAAATTTTTGAAATCTTCAATTGCACAGTATTGCGCAATAGAACAGTATTGTACAATAGCACAGTATTGGGCAAAAGCAAGAAATCTTCAATTGCACAGTATTGTGCAATAGCGCAGTATTGTGCAATATTGTAGTATTGCACAATAGCACAGTATTGCACAATAGCACAGTATTGGGCAATAGCACAGTATTTACGCAATAGCAAGAAATGTTCAACTGCACAGTATTGCGCAATAGCAAGAAATCTTCTATTGCGCAATAGCAAAAAATCTTCAATTGCACAGTATTGCGCAATAGCAAGAAATCTTCTATTGCACAATAGCAAAAATCTTCAATTGCACAGTATTGCACAATAGCACAGTATTGCACAATAGCACAGTATTGGGCAATAGCACAGTATTTAGGCAATAGCAAGAAATGTTCAACTGCACAGTATTGCGCAATAGCAAAAAATCTTCAATTGCACAGTATTGCGCAATAGCAAGAAATCTTCATTTGCACAGTATTGGGCAATAGCACAGTATTGTACAACAGCAAGAAATCTTCACTTGCACAGTATTGCGCAATAGCAAGAAATCTTCAATTGAAAACAAATACAAATGTTTTAACCAATTTCGATGGGATTAATTAAGTCTTTCATTTTTGGGGGTTCTAATTTTGTATAGTTTTTTTGGATATTAGGCCCGAATTTTTAAATTGGTCTACATTGAGGTCGAAAGGGTCCAAGATTAAACTTTGTTTGATTTCATCAAAAATTGAATTATTGCAGCTGTATGATTTGCTGAATCTTATTGTGCGTTTAGATTTTTATTTTGGGCCCTGTTTTCAAATTAGTTCATATTAAGGTTTGAAGGGTTCAAAATTAAACTTTGTTTGATTTCAACTAAAATTAAATTATTGGTGTTTTTTTATATGCTGAATCTAACCATGTTGTTAGATTTTGGATATCAGACCATTCTACATAAATTAAATGTCCCAATTCAAATTTTTAAGATCTTTGACCACATTTATTTTGTGTCAGAAATCTATATTATGTCAAAAATTTGATCACAATCCAAATTTGGACAGTAAGTATCAAGCTTAAATATTGTGTCCGAACTTGCCCCAACTGTTCAGGGTTCGACCTCTGCAGTCGTATCAGGCTGTGCTCAGCGAAGCATTTTATCTGAATTAGAATGTTTTTTATTCAGGAGAAGTTTGATTTAGACAAATCTTAATAATTATACAATCAGATGCATTCTCATTTTTGTCTTGCGTCAGCGATGTTGAAAAATCAAGACTTAGGTGTGCTGTTTCCGGCAGCAGCATGTCTGTGTCAACAATGTATTAGTTTGATTAGGTCAAGTTTATTGGGAACCACTAGTGGTAGGTCAATGATATTTTGTATGCAGTTGTATTTGCATTTGGAAGTCTCATTTCCATGGAGATTGTATGGCCCCACCACCTCATCATGGTTCATTCACTTTGAAACTTTCACATAGTTTACAAGTTAAAGTTTTTGTTTAAGTTGATTAAAGGGAACCACGTATGATAAGTCAATGGTATTTGGTATGCAGTTTTATAAACATTGGCATTTCACATTTCTATGGAGGTTATTTGGCCTTGCACCTTCAGTCATGATTCATTGACTATGAATGATTTGCATAGTTTACATGTTTGAATATTTTGCCATTTTAATTTCAACATTTGCATTATACCATCAAAATTACAAAACATGAGACATATCTGTGTGTCAACAGTTTATTTATCTTTGTAATATTTCTTTTCCACTGGAAAAAATTAATATTTTCAGCTTTTGCTACAAGAATATTAACTACTTGTTATATCCTATAGATTTTGCAATCTTATTATACACTGCTCAAGTTCATTAAGGTTATCGTGTCTGCTTAAAAAAGATTATGTCTTGTTGTTTTGATATATCAACTTTACTTTGATGAAATGAATTAAAATTGAAGATCATCATCTGAAAGATAATTGCATTTGTGAAAACGTATAGCAAAGCTTGGGGAAACACAATCAAGTGTCTATACTTGTTACAAAAATACCTAATCTAATACAGCAAAGATCTAGAGGAGATTTTAGATATTTTCTAGCTAAAAAAAATGGTGTTTCGCACAATAGGGAAGCAGCAATTGTCGAGAACGTGTTGGATCAACATAACTTTAACAAACTATGTGTGAAATGTATTTATTGTATCACTGACAGCAACGTAATGATGTAATTGAAATATAAACTCCCATCACAACGTGTAGTATCAATTTCTTTAGGAATTACTACATTAATGAAGGTCAGGTTTAACAGGAATAAGATCAAGTCTAATCATTAGAGCTGATAGGACATAAACACCTCATCAAAAACTAAGAAAAGTACATTCTATGGACTATTATAAGGTTCAGTATTTATAAATGTACAATAAACCTTTTTTTATTTGATGGAAAACAATCAGTAAAGTCATTTTGTCACACTGTAGGACTAACTTCTTTTCTATTTGAGTAACTGCATAGCCTCTGTAAAGTCAAGTTGTGTTTTGCTGAAGAATACTTACCAAAGAGTAAGAACATAGGAATGACATACTAACTTAACCTTTTTGAAGTCATTGATACATACCAAAGAATAAGATCTTATGACTGACTTGCTGACTTAACTTAAGTGAAGTCATAGCTACTTACCAAAGAATAAGATCTTAAAACTGACTTGCTGACTTAAGTGAAGTCATAGCTACTTACCAAAGAATAAGATCTTAAAACTGACTTGCTGACTTAACTTAAGTGAAGTCATAGCTACTTACCAAAGAATAAGATCTTAAAACTGACTTGCTGAAGTCATAGCTACTATTTTCCGAAGAAGAGGACCCCACAATGAACTGGTACGCAAAAAGAAATATCCACATTACCGCTTGCTCAACATGGAAGCGGGGTAACAGGAGACTTTATTTGTACAAGTACAAATAAAGCAAAAATTTATTTGTGTACTTGTTATTTGTACAATAGTTAGCTGATTGCAGGATAAAACAAAAAGAAGGTAACAGGAATTACAAACATTATGTCTTCTAACTTATAAAGTAGGACTAATTTATGGCTTGACATGAAAATCAACTTTTCTTTAATTTTGAGTCAGAAACAAGAACTGCCCCCTCATGTTGTACAAAAAAGGTTGCTATCAATATAATATAACACAATCTTATTAAAACTTCAAGGAATGTTTTACGGCAGATATTGGATTTTTTTTTTATCAATGCAGTTTCAGTAATTTGATCCCTGATTAAAAAATTGACATTTTAACTTCTGTCTATGTAAAGAGATATGGTTACAGTTACTTTAATATTTGCATTTATAAATCAGTATATCTGAGGTACTGCCAAGGCTGTATTAGATTTACTAGTGCAAGGAATAAAAGGAATCAAATATCTAATGGATTAATTGTCCGGAATCAGACACTGATATTTAAAATCTGAGGTTATTCAGATTAGGTTTTGATAGTTATTATTTTTTATGGCATTAGGATGCCATTAGAAAATGTCAAGCTTCCTTCTTAATTAGATTCATCATTGGCTACTTCTCTTAAATGGTA